ATGGTCATCGGGAGGCCGAGCCCGCGCCGGTGCAGGAGCGGGCCGCCGCCGCCGTCGACGCTACTGCGCACGGTGTTGCTGTGGCTGCTGGCGCCGCTCCGACATGGTGCCATACGGTCTCGTTCTCACCATCTTCGTCGTGGCCGCCTTCGGCGCCTTCTTGGAATGCGCCGACGAGCGCCGACATCCTGCTTAAGGAGCTCGGCGTCGGGGTAATGTACGGGATCCCGCACGTGGGGGGGGGGCCTGACGCCCGCAGGGATTCCGGACGCCCCGCTTGCGCCACCGCGCGGGCCGACGTCGACGACGTGGAGGTCGAGAACTTGGAGGCCAGTGCGCAGTCGTCGAGCTTCGTGCCCCGCGCCCGCCTCCAGAGTGCGGCCGCAGCCGCGGTCCGTGCTGCCATGTTGCAGCGCGCCGAGACCGACGGTGAGCACGACGCCGAGGGCGGCGCCACATCCCAGCCCACCCTCCTCGGTCGGATCCAGCAGGCCCAGTGGCAAGCGGCCCGAACTGCGGGCGTCACGGCCGACCGCATCTGTTACAGTCCTGAGTGCGGCGGCTCTGGCACCCAGACGGCTGGCAGCCACGGCGCGTTGGCCGCTGCGCCTCCAGCAGAGCCTCTGGCATGCGCCCCTGCTGCTGATGCCGCACCGCAGCCAGAGGGTGAGCTGCGCGTGCCAGAGGCCGCGGAGGCCGAGCACCAGGTGGCAGCTGAGGCACAAGCCACCGCCGCGGTCGTGTCCTTGGATGCCACGTGCCAGGCGACGGCATGCCGGACTGCGCGGCCCAGGCGCCGCGCCGCCGCTGCGCGCCAGGCCGCGGCCGAGGCGGATCGCCAGGCCGCAGCCGAGCTCCAGGCCGCCGGGCGCCAGGCCGCAGAGCGCCGGGCGGAGCCCGAGCGGCTCGAGGAGGCAGCGCGCTGTGACAAGGCCGAACGCCAGGCGGCGACCCCGCCCCGCGCCAGACGTGCAGGATCGGGCCACTGCTACTGCCGCGACGGCCCCGGTGCTGCCGTCAGCGGTACTTCGACCAGAAGCTCCTGCACCACCGACGGCTCCTCCGCAGCTGCCGCGTGAGCAGCCCGGGCCGTCGGCGATGAAGAGAAGAGGGTGCCGCGATCGGCGCCTGTCGACGTGGACCCTCAGCAGGCCAGAGGTCCACTCGTGATAGCGGGCGGACGGGCTGGCGGCAGGGATGCATCTCCCCATGCTGGAGTGGAGCCCCGCCCTTAGCAGCTTCTGGCGGCGCGTGGCACAGGAACGCGCTGCCGCCGCTGGAGCCGCGTCGGTGCCAGGCACGACCCAGGAGATGCCTGCCGAGCTGCACGTGGCCATCGCTATGCCCGCCGAGCTGCTCCAAGACGATTCCGCCGAGACGCACGCCGAGCTGCCCCAGAGCGAGGCAACTGAATCGTAGCCGCCACCAGAGTGCAGTGGTAGAAGGTTCGCACATGGAGGGCGGAGGGAGGAGAGGAGGTATTTGGCTGTTGTGTAACTTGCGAGTCTCCACTCATGCTCACAGTAGTACCGGAGAACGAAATTATCGTTCTCTCACGCTCTGCAGTCACGAGTCTGTTTTGCGATACGAGCGCGAGAGATGCCAGCCCGCAGAGATTTTCGGCATTGTAATTCAGCGACGCCGACCCAGGAGGAGCGCTCTTGAGGAGGTTGGTCGGGTGTGGGTAATATTGTTCTTCATCCCAGCCCCTCCTCCCTCCGCGAGCGACACATGCGTGCACAGCCCTAACACTTTCTCGCTTGCTTCTCCTTGGCGCCCGCCAAACTTTGAAGCGACGCTCCTCTCCAACTCTCGCCGGGGCGCTCTGATAACTGCGCGTTGTGTTGCCGCCGTCGGTCGTCGCTCGTGTTGGGCGCGGGTGCGAAGATGGATCCTCTTTCTGGAGGGGGAGCGCCCCGAGTCTGGGAGCCCCCAAACGGAGGAGGAGGAGGAGGAGGAGGAGGAGGGGGAGGAGGAGGAGGAGGAGGAGGAGGAGGAGGAGGAGGAGGAGGAGGATCCAGCTGCACCTAGCCTGGCAAAAATCTCCGCGTGGCAACTCCCGCTGTGGCGCCTCCGCACGGCCTCATCGTGTATGGCCGAGCTGCATAGGGAAAGGTCGTCCGTGTCCCAGCGCCGCTCCGTTCGCCTCGGCGTCATCCTTAAGTCGGGCGTGTCCTCCGACAGGCGAATTCTGGACGAAAAATTGAAGTAGCCAAAAATGCCCCCCAAATAGCCTAAAATAAATTGAAAAAATCGTCGCCGGAGTATTTTTTAACTACTTGTGAATATTCCTCCTGTAGAGGGACAGGCCCGACTTAACTTGATCCCATCCCTCTCTATAGCGTCTCCCCTTCCCCCCCCCTCGAGCGACCGAGGGCCCACCAACACGGTCGCCGATGTGCTCTGCTGACGCCGTGCCGGCCCAGCCGATGCTGTGCCAGGGGAGGTTTCGGTGGGATGGCGGGATGGATGGCACGAGGAGTGGATTCTGGACTTATCCGGTGTCACGAGAGTAGGAGGCTTGCGGTCTGCGTCTCAGCCTTCTCCGTCCCTCTCGCAATGTTATGCCATGTCCCTCACTCCCTCTTCCTCTCCTCCTGAGTGCCTTTGACGAGCACAGCGAGCCATTTGTTGCCGCCTTCAGCGTTTGCCGTCCAGTTGCCCATTATGGAGGATGGGGGAGTCTGTGAGGATTGGGAGAGTCTGGATTCCCTGCTTCGGTTCGACGCGTTCCGCCCGCTCTGCCGCGGAGCTCCCGTCCTGCTGAACGTGCGTTCGTGGCGCCCGTGCAGATCTATGATTCGAAGTAAAGCGCACGCCGAAGTCGTTATACTCTGCTAGTTGCAGCGCGCTGACAGGCATTGGCTTCATCAGCGTCGCAATCCGAACTCCTCCTCCTCCTCCCTCCTCCCTCCTCCCTCCCTCCTCCCTCCCCTCCTCCCTCCTCCCTCCTCCTCCTCCTTCCTCCTCCTCCTCCTCCGCCACCTCCTCCTCCTCCTCCTCCTCCTCCTCCTCCTCCTCCTCCTCCTCCTCCTCCTCCTCCTCCGCCACCTCCTTCTCCTGGTGCGAAACGCCCCGCCCCGCTGCCTGGCTCCGCCGTCGACTCGAAGACGGCGAAGAAGAAGCCGCCCACGTTGTGGCCGCGCGTGGGCAGCAGCCGCGCACACCCCTCGAGGCCCAGCTCCCGGTTGCGGTCCGGGTCCCCGCAGAAGAGGGTGCCCTCCCCCGGCACACAGTCAAAACACAGAAATGCTCCCTGCAGGAGAGGGCGGTCGTAATCGCCATCTTCGACATAATTGGCATCATCATCATCATCATCATCATCATCATCATCATCATCATCATCATCATCATCAGCAGCAGCAGCAGCAACAGCAGCAACAGCAGCAGCAGCAGCATCATCATCATCATCATCATCATCATCATCATCATCATCATCATCATCATCGTGGTCGTCGTCGTCATCGTCATGGTCATCGCCATCATCATCTTCATCATCATCATCATCATCATCATCACCACCACCACAACCTTCATAATCATCATCAGCAGCATCATGAGCATCATCAGCATCATCAGCATCATCAGTATCGTCATCACCAGCACCACCACCATCATCAACATCATAATCATCATAATCAGCAGCAGCAGCATCATCAGCATCAGCATCAGCATCATCGTCATCGGAATCATCATCAGCAGCAGCAGCATCACCACCATCAACAGCATCATCGTCATCAGCAGCATCATCATCATAATCGTCAGCATCAGCATCATGAGTATCGTCGTCATAATAACAAAAGTTACCCCAGTGCGACCCTACCTACAAGTTGGAGCCCCTAGGAAATCAGCATTAGTTGATATGCTATGCTGCGCTATGCTATGCTATGCTATGCTATGCTGTGCTGCGCTATGCTATGCTATCCTATGTTGTGCTATGCTATGCTATGCTATGTCATGCTGCGCTGTGCTATGCTAAGCTATGCTATGCTATGCTATGCGATGCTAAGCTGCGCTATGCTATGCTATGCTATGCTATGCTATGCTATGCTGCGCTATGCTATGCGATGATATGCTATGCCATGCTGTGCTATGCTATGCTGTGCTGTGCTGTGCTGTGCTAAAGCTCAGCGAAGCTAAGATGAAGGTAAGCTAAGCTAAGATAAACCTGAGCTAAGATGAAGCTAAGCTAAGCTAAGATGAAATAAGCTAAGCTAAGATGAGATAAGCAACGCTAAACTAAGGGGACATAACTGGGGGAACCGCGGGGCGGATACTGGGGGAACCGCCCGGGCCGGTTCCCACTGCCCGGCCCTTTAAGCCAAGAGAGTAAGAACCCTTCTAGGGAGAGCCTAGGTAGGGAATGACAATCATCATCAGCAGCAGCGTCATCATCATCAACATCGTCATAATCGTCATCATATGCATCAGCATCCGCATCAGCGTCAGCGTCAACATCAGCATCAGCATCAGCAGCATCACCACCATCAGCATCATCAGCATCGTGGTCGTCGCCGTCGTCATCACCAGCATCATCATCATCAGCATCATCGTCGTGTCGTCAACTTCATCGCCATCTCCATCACAATCGCCATCGCCATGGTCGCCACTATCATCATCAGCATCACCATCACAGCATCATCATGATCAGCATCAGCATCACAAATCAGCATCAGCAGCATCATCATCATCATCATCATCATCATCATCACCACCATCACCATCACCATCACCATCACCATCACCATCACCATCACCATCGTCATCGTCATCGTCATCATCATCATCATCATCATCATCATCATCATCATCATCATCATCATCATCATCATCATCATCATCATCATCATCATCATCATCATCATCATTGACAGCATCATAATTATCATCTGCAGCAGCATCAGCAGCAGCAGCAGCAGCTGCAGCAGCAGCATCAGCATCAGCATCAGCACCGTCAACAACGACAACCAATCCGCCGGCCCCCTTGTGGGGTCATCAGGCTTCGAGGATTAGGCTTCAGTACCCTGCATCAGTTCCAGTTTCCAGTCTCCAATGCTACAGTCCTGCTTTTTTGCTTCCTACTGTAAAGTGTTGAAATCCGCGCGAGGGGGGGGGAGCCGAAACGCGTCCGGTTACCCTCCCCGAGTCGCGTTGTCTGAACTCCTGCGGGGCCGTGGGACACGTAAAAATACAAGAGATTCGCGCTCCCAGCGCAAGAATCCCTCCAGAATTACACTGCATTCGCTCCCCCGAGGCCACGATCCCTTGCAAATTGCACATTCGCTTCCCCGAAGCTACGATGCCTCAACATACACCGTATTCGCGCACCCGAAGCCCCGATCTCCCGCAAATCGCATTACATTCGCTCTTCTGGGGACACGATCCCCGGCAAATACACCACATTCGCACTGCCGACGCCACGATCCCTCGTAAATTACGTCACGCTCGCGTCCCCGAGGCCACGATCCCTTGCAAATTGCACCACATTCGCGCCCCCGAAGCCACGATCCCTCATAAAATATCAGATTCGCGCCCCGGAGGCCACGATCTCACGCAATTTCCGCTACATTCGCGCCTCGGGGGCCACGGTCCAATGTGAGCCACAGTTGCGCCCCCGAGGCAACGAGCCCGTTCAAATTAGAAAATATTCACGTCCCCGAGGCCAGTAACCCTCGCAAAGTATCCAATGCTTGCGTCCCCGAACCAAAAAATACCTTCGCAAATTATCCAAAAATCCAAAAAAAAATCCGTCCCCGAGGCCATCAAACTTTTTGTAAAGTATCAATTCTTGCGTCCCCGAGGCAACAAATCCTCGAAAATTACTAAGTGTTGCGTCCCCGAGGCAACAAACCCTTGCAAATCACTCCATAATCGCATCCCCGAAGCCAGAAACCTTCACAAAGTACTCAATATTCGCGTCCCCGAGGCCACAAACCCTCGCAAA